TCTGGCGGGGTGTGAGGCTGCAAATTAGCAGGCACGGCGTTGCTGCCCGTCTTCTCTGCTGGTACGCCAACCTGCTGCTGTCTGTCCCTGCCTCTGGCTCGTCTCCAAACTAATTCAGCTATCATGAAATTTTAACTCTGCTGCAAAAAGGAAAAAAACAAAGACATGGCCAAGAGTGTGAACCGTGGGTTTGGGGTCAGTGGGGGTTTTTTTGTGCTGTACCTGTCTTTCCTTAGTTTCCCCTGTCCGTAGTGCGGTGCCCAGCACTTTGAGCAAACCCAAACGTGTTTGGTCAAGTAAAACCCTCCTACGTTAGTACTCCTCTGGCTCTGCTGTCTGCCGAGAAAGCCCTCGGAGCAAGAAGCTACAATCACAATGGTTAAGTCTCCTTTCCAAGTGCTCCTAGTGCTAGGGAGATGCTGAGCTGGTGGGGTGCTGCGGGCTCCATGCGGGAGCCTGCTGCCGAGGGGAGGCTCAGGGCTGGAGTCATCTCCAGGGGAAAAGGACTGGGTAAATCCTGCCCACGGTCCGAGGACTGAGCCCCGTTGAGTAAACGCTGCTGGAGCCGGGCGGTGGCGTGGTCCCAGCCCTCGGTGTCCTGGCTGGGCTGAGAGGGAGGCTCGGCAGCTTGGGCACGATTATATGGAAAAATCCTGCAAGTTCAGAATGTTTTACGTTTTGACACTAGGCCACGGATGTGCCCATGGAGACCCCGTTGGCTGGTGTGGTGTTGGGGTCACTTGTATCGGGCTCTTTTGCTTAGAGGCTTTTGGTGAACCTTGCCCCCAGGTACCATGGGAGGGCTCCTGTGAGGCTTCTGGCTTTATGGAGAGCTTGTTCTCTCTCTCCCTCTCGAGATTTTGCAGCTTCTTGCCTTGGAGGATGACTGCAATTTAGTTTTATTTCACAAAATTTGACGTGACTCGAGACTGTGATTTACTGGCTGTGAAGGATATAGTATATGTAACTGGGGTGAGCATAAGAGGCTCTTCATGGTAGAGGAGTCATAAATTGAGATAAAAATGAGGGAAACGTTACTGTCCAACTTTACAAGGTAGCACGCGGAATAGGGCACACAGAAGCTATCTGTAACTGTCAGGGGTCTTGATCGTGCCCAATGGTGCGTAAGAAACCTCCTGAACGAGACCCGTGCTCTCATACACCAAGGTAGCTAACACCCAAGTGCCTGAAAAGACACAAGGTGGCAATCTTTCCAAAAGGACACCACTGAACATCTCCAGACTAAGTGTTTCCAAGCCATCGCATTCCTCACTTTGGCGCTTGCTCCTGCGCTGGTCTGATGTGCTCCCGGGGAGTCAGTGACTGGTGGTGGCCAGCTCTGGCCCAGGGCTGGTAGCCGTGGGTACGTCACCCATTAAGGCAGAGCCTCGCGTCCTTCCCCTTCTGGTTTTTGGCACCTACACCATGAGGTGCAGGTGATTTTGCCCGTGGTGCTGCCTTGGGGGTCTGTTTCTGCCTTCCCCTCCTGCACCTTGCACCTCGGGAGCAACGTGGACGTTTTCTCCAGGCTTTGCTAGACAGCCTGGAGGACTTCTCGCGTTGCAAGGAGATCCGTGTGTTTCACGTATAGACATTAGCTCTGAGTTTAAACGTTGTAACGCGTGGCAGCAGAACGTGGGCTGCCTGGCGGTTTCCGCGTGCAACCCGAACGCCCTTCCCTGCCGCTGATGGACCTTCTCAATATGGTTGGGTTTAGCTGCTGCCTCCTCCGTTG